TGGTTTTGGCACTAATTTTCAGTGGGACCCGTTTGACTATTTTGAAATATAGAAGTTGATTTGTGTTCTCCTTCGTGAGTACATCGAAATCTTATGCTTACTTGTCAAAAATGATGCTCGGGTGAATGAGAAATTGAAACTCAAAGTATGCCATGTGAAAAGAGTTTGTTGGTGGGAAAACTAAAAAAAGTTAAGGTTTATCCCACATAGGAAGTGGATAAAAACTAAAACCACTTTATAAAGGATTACACTTTAGAGTGGTGTAATCATGTATAGCATAGAGGCTCTCTCTACGTGCTCGCGTAGGGGGTGCAAATCTTGGATCGAAATAGGCTTCGGACATTGAACTTGTGTGCGGGCGTGACATGCGTACACAAATGTAGGACCGAAAGGAGGAAAATTGACTTTTTAGGAATGTCCACGTTTTGCTACATTTTTGTTAATTTTCAACTGACTTTTGGTTTTCCAAAATTTCTGAAACTCCTGTGTTAATTGTCATTTGTTAATGGGCAGGTTACAAGAGTTAGCCTTTATATATGTCTCGTTTTTCCACTGTCCAATACACGAAAAATTTATCTGCATATTCATCTGCACACAGTTCCTGTTTCTCTACATTTTTCGTTCCTGTTCGAGTCTTGTGGTGATATATTTCAGACACAAAGTCAATTCGTCGGAGTAGAGTCTGCTGTGCTCGGATTTTACTGGTTCCTCCATTGTATCCTGCAAAGCAGACGCTCGTACTATCCTCAAGTACGTACGGTGAGGGGGCGAATCTGTTTTAAGGAAACTGTGTTCGACACAGACCTCAGGTTAAAAGTGTTATACTGTTTTAATTGTTTTTATTCGATTTGCATATTGATTTTTTGTAATTATTTAAATTATTTGTTATTTTTGCTGCAATTAACAAATCGTTGGATTTGTTATATATATAGTTTATTATACGGTATCCTGTTTGTAAATCTGGTATTCGATATTGAAACAATTATCCTACACAATCATCGTTTTCTGAGATAAAATTGTTATTTTAATACAACAAAATTATACTATGGACAGACAACCTATCATGTGTAATGTAACTATATGGAATTGTTCTCTTGTCTACTGTGGGCAAAATAAGACTGCTCACCTGCTAATATGCCAGGAGAACTCAACGTTGGATTCTCTCCAAATAAGAAATTGAACGTTGGATTCTCTCCGAATATGCATAATAAGACTTCTCACCTTGGGTAGGAGAACATGTTTGTGTAACTGTAATATATAATCTGTCACTGTTGATCAGCTTTTCAGTCGGGGAATGTTTGCAAACAACAAAACTGAATCTAAATAGTGCAAATTGAGATTTATCAGTATAGAGTTAGTCTAAATTAATTTGTATAGTGGACTTCGGTTCTGCTGTCACTGATATATATATATATTGGTTTTTCACACATATGATTTCACAGTAAATTCTTTTTTTTTTTTTTGTCCTCTTCTATTATCCGTCATAAAAAGTCAAAATTGATGTTATTATCGACATGCAATGAAATTGTTTGCATTTTTTTTCATCTCTCCCAAGAAAGAAAATGTAAGGTAGGCCTGCTGGTACAAACATATTATTGCATGCAGTGTAGTCCCTAGGCAGCAAATCAAGGCCATACATTCAAGAGGGAGTAAATTTTGACCTCTGTGAAATTTAATTATTATTAATAATAATTTCCAGTACAATTAAATTATTTGCATCAATTCAACTACTCTAGGCTTTGCTCAGCTCCTTAAATAACAAGTTAAAAGACTTGGGTCCCATTGTGAGCTTGCAACTAAGCGCACGTCTGGCTACGATTAATTAAAAATTTTCTTATGAGTAAATAATTTCATAATCTTTTTCATGACTAAAGTTAAAAACAAGTAAATATTCGCTACTTCAAATAAAAAATATATATTCGAAAGAATATTTACTTGAAAAGGAAAGTTTAAGTTACTTTTAAATTTAATTATACAAACTCTAATTATCAAAAACTAAAGAAAAGCGTTGGCTACGCATGCTATAAAATCAACGGAGGATTTTTTTTTTTTTTTTTTTCGGTGCTAATATTCATTCTGTCATTAATGACGATATTTGATAGGACATTTAATTCTTGAATTTGAAATATGTTAATTGAGGAGAAAAGCAACAAAATGGTCATGTCACTCTTGTCATCTGGCCAATTCACTCAAAGGTTGGTGAAAAAAACAAATTGCACAACATATCCAATAATAATGTCTCCCAAAAGAATTTGACAAGAAAGTGGACCTTTCAAAGGTAGATGTAAAATTTACCTGCCTTCAATAGAATTTTGTTAGAGGTACATTCTCGTATACATCTAGCATTACATCCCTATCCCTCTCCCATCTGGAGGGTGACGGTGCATTGATATAATTTCAAGATTCGAAATTAATGGTGTAGATGATGTCACATGGTAGAATATTATGTAGCATGACTCTTGAGACAATTAGGCTCCAGTTTATTATGACCGATTTTCATGTGGGGCGGGGTGGGATTTAGAAATCAGGGTTTATAAGCATTTAATTATTAATTCACCATTTCTAGTTGAGTATGTATTACAATTTACAACTGGAGAATCTTTGGTATTCAACAATTGATATCATGTTAATATTGTCTGGTACGAAAGTTCAAGTCATTAAAGCGGTGTCAAGAACATTGCATGTGTGTGATCAACTGAGCTTTACAAAATTACTTATGTTGATTGTATTGAAAGTTAGACGTGACTTTTTTACTAGAAATTATAAAACTACAAATAATTAAAGTTTGTCTGCACAATATTATGCTAGCTGTTAACATCTTAAGTGACAATATTATGCTGCAAATTTACAGCAGTAAATCAATATGTTCCTTAGTGAAGCGTCTAATGAAGGAATTTATTTAAACAGTGGCAAGAATCATATCAAGGAAGTAGTATTGCTCTATATATCTTATGAATTCTAGTTTTACTGGTCTTTTGCACGGTAAACGGACAAAGTGCAAAGCTAGATACTTAGGGGCTGTTCTCTTTGCGTTTCAATTTTGTGTTTTGAATTTTGAATTTATTTTTAGTTTTGTGTTTTGAGTGTCTATTTTCAAATTGTTGAAAATGTACTCTTTTTGGCATTTTGAAAACACCAAAAAACGAAACAAAAATGTCGTTTTGGATTTTCTTTGTAAATTTTTAACTTGTTTTCAAAAACGCGTTTTCGAAAATTAAGAAAGAGAACGCGTTTTCATTGTTTTGGAAAATTAAAAACAGAAAACGACTTGAAAATGGTAAAGAGAACGGACCTTAACTTTTCACAGTCAAAATAAAAAAAGGGGAAGCATAAGTATGGTCCATATATAAGACAAATAAACCTCTACTTTTGTGACTTGAACAAACCTTGAGCCGGTGGTCTAGACATTCTTTAACTTGGTGTTGTCTGAGTGACATGATCAAGTTTTTACTAACGGATTTTCTTACAGAAAATTGAATCGTTGACGCTCCTGAGCAATGAGATATTGGCCCGACAGGAAATGCGTGAAGGCTCGTTATGTTTGGTGTAAATGAGAGCAGACAAAAACTAGGTGTCGCAGTTGCTAAAGGATCTTCATTCACATAATGAATTCCAGATTTATCGAGAATAATAAGGCACGATTTGTTAAAGTGATATTAACCTGTAGGATGGTTCGACTAAGTAAGCATAGCTTCACCAACTAAAGACATGAAAAACATGATGGTTTGAAACAACGAAAAATTAATAATTCAAAAGGTGACTGTGAGCTACAATTGAGCATATTAATTAAAGTAATCATGTCGCAAAAGAACAAAAAAATTTCTGGAAATCATATGATTTTCAAGCAAAAAGAGTAGAAGGTACTATGTAAATCGAAGAATTTTAAACTGAAAAACCTTACTGCAAATGAAAAACAGTTCCATCTCATCAGAAGAAATTAAACCCAGTGGATGTTCCAGACTGAATTGAGGAAACAAGGCATTTCTCGACCGGTTAGCCTACTGCACATAAACTGGGAACTAAGACTTTTTCTCATTGAATTAGGAGTAGACCACGCACCTAAACATCTTAGGAAATGAAAGTAGTCATGTACAGAAGAAATGTCTGCATTTATATACACAAAATATGACTAAGGCATGCTTGTTAGGCCATAACAAGACAAGCAAAATATTGTATGTTTGTTACTACCTAAGCAAAACCCTAGTTTTCTTGCACGTCTTTCTTCTGCAAAAAATTTGACTTGTGTTTTTTCTTTCCCAAGGTGAAACCAACAGGGTAGAGAGCCTTTCCTTGGATAGACTGACAACTTTGGACATCCCCTTTTCACGACATGATGCTTTACCGAATTCATATAAATGAGCTTTAAGATTGCATAAACCCAGTTGGTGGGCTGGGGCGGGTGGGTGGGTGTGTGGGAGGTGTTTGCATATCAGAAAGGTAATGTAAAATGAGTGGTCCATCTACTCTGTGTCTGCAAATTATTCAATATTAATACAGTAATAACAACACTTATTTCAGCCAGCTTCTTTATTTTGATCACATGGAATGTTTGTTAAATAGAAAATATTGTTTCAAATTAAAATTATTATGAAAATGAATTTCTTTTTTTAGTTGAGAGATGTGAACAGCCAACAATCAATGATAATACAGATCAATAGCTTGAAAAATATAATTTACATTTTAAGAAGGTAATCGAAGAAAGACAACAACTAAACACATTTGTACATCGCCGGTAAAATAAGTTTGAAGAGCATAAAATGTATATCTTAGGTCGAAATATTCAAATTTGCAAGAATTCAAAATGTACAAGAATTATTAGTCCCCACCAACCATGGCCACTGAATGAATCCTTCCTTCATAATTTTTTTGCATTATGCGATGTAAAGATCAGAAACCAATATAATACACAAATCAAGCAAATTAATTCTTATCTGTCTGTGTGGTGGACATGACAGATACAGATATATAACTCAATTTGCTATACAATAATTCCAAGAACTTTACTGCTCGTATCCAAATGCCAAGATCGACGCAGAAGGAGGGAAAATATGCGAAAAGGGATCCATTAAATCAAGACCGATTTTCACAGAAAATTTGCCAGAACCATCCATGAGGAAATCAGTAGCAACTAAAATGAAAGGTTAGGATTATTGTAGTGTAATAAATAATTGTGTACAAAGATTTGGTTTTTTATCTTTTATAAAACATATAAACTAAAGAATTCGTAACATAATACACAATATCTCAAATGTTTCACAGGAAAAGAACTGATCATGAATTCAAACACATGGCAGGATAGAAACCTGCTATATAGAATAATAGCTGCAACTAAAAGTTGAGAGGCGGAAGATTACTGTAGAGTAATCAATACTGATTGTGTCAAGATTTGTCTTCAAATCATAAATTCAAAGCATAATACATAATATCTAAAGGGTTACAAAATAAAAAACTCATGGATTCAAAACCATTACCAGCATATCAGAACATAGCAACACAGAGTCGTCTTTTTGAGAGAAAATTTAACGGGAGATACAGAGATGTTCGAGAATATACCAGTTAGTGACACCAAATTCTGCTTGACCCTCTCCATATCTTCCCACAGCTTTATTGAACCGCAAATGCCTTCATCATCCCCTCCAGTAGAGGCCATACGGTGCTTCATTATATGCAGTTCAAGAAAGCCGTGGAAAAACACGAACAGGGGCATTATTGAAGCCACAAAATCAATCATTTGCAGCAACCCTAAGTAGGGTTTCCTCCATTAGAGAGAAAATGCAGAAAAGGGGGAAGTTCAGAGAGAAAGAGTGCGTGTATAGAGGAGGATTGGGATAGTATATATACAGAAGAATTGAAGTTTTCCACCAATCCCGAGAGAATATTGGCCTATTATAAAGCACACTACTTTTCATCCCATTAATATTTCGACCTATAAGGAAACAACATATGAGTACAATAATAATATGACCGGTCAGGATTCAAGTTACTGAGAATCCAACGATTGTGGTAACCCTAGCGGGGACACGTAAAGAGTTCCTTCCTTTAGATCTGTTCGTTCAAGGTGTAATTTCAAGACCACACGCTTTTGTGCCTTTAAAAAAAAAAAATTTGCTACTTGTACATAAAAATATTCATAAGCAGTTATCGAAATGATGTAGAGGAAAAATATTGCAATAATAGGCTTAAAAATCGTAACGTAATATAATTTATTTTCAAGGATTGCGATAATAGGCTTAAAACTCAAGGATTTACTGCTTAAAAATATGAAAAATGGAAAATATATCTAATAAAACACTGCTCCCTTTTTAAAGGAAAATTATCTGGTATATACCACAAGGAAATTACAAAAATCACAATCTTTCTCATTTTTTTTTTTTTTCCAAACTTGAGAAAATGAAAATCCGAGTATTGATATTTCTTTTTATATTAATATCATGTTTGACTCTCATTTTCTAAAATATAATTTCCTCTCACTCATTTTCAATAACACTCTCAATAAAAAATCTCCATCAAACGAGGAAAAAATTTCTTTAGTATCGTAACTACAATTTACTTTTTATTTCTAAAATAGAAATTCTTTTTAATAAAAAAATTACAAGTAAAAGAGTGCATTGAAGCAAAGGGTGCATTGCCGTACTAAAACTTGTTAGCATATATTCAAAGAAATATATAAAACTTATACCAACTAAAAATTCATGTCGATAATTGCAAGTTTGGTATAACGAATAACGGGGTTAAGTGCAACACACAATAGGGAATATGCGAGTGGATATGCAGATTGAAATTATAAAGGAAATTAAGGGTTAAATTAAGGAAGAAAAACATTGGATTCACATGGTGGCATGTGAACGGGTGTCCCACGTACCGTGGGACGGTGTGTAAAAATGACATGCACCCCGTTTTCGCGGACTAAGGTCTATCTGTCGGATATGCATGGTGGTGCATACGATGCACTTTCCTAAACTCCAAATTCCTTCTGCATAAATATCTGTATATACTTATTAATAAATACATACGAACTTTTCGTCTACTATTTGAATTTTGCTATTTGTACATTAAAAAAAAAAAAAAAAAAAACAGTCACAAGAAATGATTGAAATAATATGGAGGGAAAAAATTGGATAAAAAAAGGGACTAAATTGACAAATAATAGAGTTTTCTTTAACATTATGTAAGACACTATATAAACATTAATATACGTGTAGCATTGTCCCTACTATCTTTTCTTACTCTGCTTGTCTCTCTCCCTCTCTCCTCCATGTCTTCATGCATGTCCGTGTGTGAGAGAGAGGGAGAAGAACGTTTATATATATACACATCCATATATACAAATACTTCATCTTTAAAAGTCAATAGTAAAGTCTTTATACGTTAAATATTGGTTTGGGTATTTAAACAATGTCAAAAGATAGTACCTCATTTGAGAATGTTGTAACATGTTTGATGCAAATTTTTTGATAATTATAGATTTTGTGAAATATGATTTTTTTAAAAATAATATTTAGTTAAAAGTAGGAAAACGTTATAGGTCCACACAAAAACTATTTTATTGAAAAAACGTATGATTGAAAATGAATTTTTAAAAATCTCTAAAGAAGCTTAATTTTAAAGTCTAACCGTTCATTTGAATTTTAAAATCATCAAAAAAATATAACATTATTAAAAGAAATAATTCAAATCCTCATTAATTGATTTATTTAAACAACCTACAATTTTCCCTTTTAACAACACACAAACACATATTTGAGCTGCCCACGTTAGGGCATTGGGCAATCACATTGATAGAGTGGTGGTTTGTGGGTTTCTTGTTTAAGTTAGCTGGCAAAAGCCAATTGAGGTTGTCTTTCTCTTTCAACAGCCTGTCAAGATTATTCTTGTTTTTTTTTTTTTTTAAATTCTACTAACCATATTATTATTATTATTATTATTATTCTTGTTTTTTTCAATATTGTATACTAGAATTTGAGGTAAATTTTGTATTATCTTGTACCAAACTAAAAATCATATCCAACCATTACACTAAAACTTACACCAAATGAATTGTGTTTAATCATTTTCTTCACTTTTTTATTCTTAACAGTTTATTTATTTATTTATTTTACAAATACATAAATTATTAAATAAATAATTACTTTAAATTAACGAAAATAATAAATTCATTAATAAATATAAAAATATGTATGTAAATATAAAAAAAAAAAGTGTAAATGCACATAATAATAATAATAATATTAACCACAATAATAATTATAATAATATTAATAAAAATTTATTGTATTAAAAAATATATAACTCAAATGATACAAATACCCTTAATAAATTTATTTGGCAAATTAAAAAAAAAAAAAGGTAAAATTGACTTTTTACCATTCAGTGCAAAATGGTGCAAAGTTTAGTGCTACACAGGAGATACATTGCACCAAAATTTGGTGCATTTTG